GGGGCGGCGCGGGGCCGGCGGCACGCGGCGCGCGCGCCTCGCATCCGCGCGCTTTCATGGCCCCGCTCCGGCCCCGCTATCAGCAGCCGGCAGCCGTGCCGGTGGGGTCACCACGCGGCGGCTCCATTAAACTCCGATCCATTAAACACTTCCCGATAGGATCCAATTAAGCGCCAAATTGAATAGCGACGCCAGGGCGCGCGCACCCTCGTGCGCTCCGCGTCACCGTCGGCTCCCARGGAGTTCAGCGCCGGTTCAATCAGATAACAGGGATTTGCAGCCTTTCCGGAGGTCCAGGAGGTCGGCAGGAGCCGAGCTGCTTGCATGAGAGTGGGAAAATTCCCCCTTATTCCTTCACAGGAGCTGGCAATATCCTGCTCTCAAGGAATTCCCAGGGAGATGCATGGCGTGGAAAAGCGGGAGAAACCTCCTGCTTCCCAGGCAGCATAGGTGTGTTTTGTGGAGGTGTTTGCGGTCGAAGCCACAGGGCATCCAGGAGCGTGAATTGGAATCAGGAGCTCCTGGTTTTCCATTGTAATAGGTGRCAGTTTTCCCTCGGGAGACGAGGCACCCAGGCACCCTCCCCTGTCCCCGGGAGCTGCTCCTGCGGACAGCGAAGGCAGCAGGGGCAAATGAAGGGCTAATTATGGCCTGATGATTTGCCAAGATTTTGTTACGGAAAGGGGAAGACGGAACAAGGGGATTTTTCCTTCTGATCTCCTTAAGCYGCCGCAGCAATTTTGCTCAGATATGCAAAGCGGGGCTTATCCCCTCTTCATAACAGCCCAGAGCCAGGCTTAATATTCACTCGGGGACGTGTTATTTGGCATGTGCTTCAAGCGGGGAGGCCGGTGCCTCAATGCCTCAGCAGCCACAAGTGCGATGAGTTGCACCGTCCTCCTGGAGCAGCTCCTGGAGATGGATTCCCTAGGGAGCTCCATCCTCCGACCATCCGCGGCGGGATCGATGGCAGCGTTTGAACCTAATCGGCTCCATCAAAGCGTCTCCGAGCAATTTGTTAAGTAAATAATAAGAAAAAAAAAAAAAAAAAGGAGTGCAGCTTAAGCAAATGCGGGAAAAGGAGGGGGTGGGATGAAAGGCTCCGGATCCGCACGCTCAAAAGGCCGGGAAAGCTTCAGAGGATTGTAAATGATGGAGGGGGGAGGCTGCAGCGAGCGCCGGGAGTTTCAAAGCTCCGGCGGCTTCAGAGGCCCCTTTCATCGGCGCGCGCTGCGGGGAGGCCCGGCCCCGGCAGCAGGTGCTCCGGCTCCAGCCGTTCCCGTGCGATCCCGGAGCTCGGCATGCGCCGGCACTGCTGCCGYGACCGCCGGCATTGCGGCTGCGGAGGCGGGCGGGCGCCCGGCGCGGGTTGCCAGGAGCGCGGCCGTGTTGTGGCGACGGAGCCAGCGGCCATGAGCGGCTACTACAGGCCCCTGTCCTCCGGCGTGAGTCCAGGCACCGGGCTTGGGAAGGCCGGGAATGGCCCCAGCGGGCGTCGGTGCAGCCCCCGGGTGCGAGCGGGGACAGATGCGAAGCGGGGATGGATGCGAGCGGGATGGATGCGAGCGGGGATGGATGTGAACGGGGATGGATGTGAGCGGGATGGATGCGAGCGGGGTTGGATGCGAGTGGGGATGGATGCGAGCRGGGATGGAAGGGAGCAGGACAAATGCGAGAGGAGATGGATCCAAGTAGGGATGGACACGAGCAGGGAGGGGTGCAAGTGGGAAGGATGCGAGTGGAGATGGATGTGAGAGAGGAGGGGTGTGAGCGGGGACGGAAGCCGGCGCGGATGTATGTGAATGGGAATGGAAGCGAGCGGGATAATACGAGCAGAGATGGACCCAAGGCAGGATGAATGTGAGTGGGGATGAATGTGAGCGGGACGGATGCAAGTGGGATGGATGCAGGTGGGGATGTGTAGTGAGCTGGGATGGAGCCTGTACAGAGCAACAGCAGGGCCAGACAAATGTCATTCCCACCGCGTCCCTCATTTGTCCCTCATCCCACGTGTCCCTGCAGCTGCACCAAGGGGACGTGTCCCTGCCGCCCGCTGACGCTGTGGCCGGGATCCTGCCCGTCCCGCCGGAGCCGGAGGAGCGGAGGTGCGTGGGGCCGTACCCTGGTGCCGGGCACCGTCCACTCCAACCGCCCCYCTTGGCCTCACAGCTCCCTCTGCTCCACAGGGATCAGGACACGGAGCGGTGGGACCAGGTGAGCGCCGAGGGGATGTGGGCGCCAGGAGCAGCCTGCCCGGCTCTTCCCCCTGCCCCGCTGGAGCAGCGAGGAGCTTCCCAAGGCCGCGGTGCCGGGCGCCCACCCTCTGCCCCCCGGCCCCGGCTCGCC